GTGTTATGGACTGATTCATTTATTTGGGTTTTTTTGTTGTTGATTTTCTTCAGAAAGGTTACAGTTGCTTCCACCTATCAGTAGCAGAGAGAAAGTAAAATACCTTTGCACCATGACCTTGAATGGATGTTTCTATTAAGAAAGTAAATTAACTAAAAGAAAGTGAAGAAAAGAAAAGAATAAACACCAATACAGAAGTGGCTGTGGGTGACTGCCTATGTTTAAACATGGCTTTCAAGAAAAAGGATTTTGTGAATTCCCTAAGTGCGCAAACCAGGATGTTATCTCAAGTAAGCTGTTTGCTCAGTCAGGGATGTCAATACCTGACTTTAAACGTTATCAGAGAGACACAAATTAAAGGAAAGCGTAGAGCAGGAAGAATTTATGATGAATTTCCAGAAGGCAAGTTTAATCAGGAGCATTATGTACTTTTACACAATGACTAGGTACAATGAGGTAGATGAGTTACTCAAAACACAGATATTTACTTTTAATGATCTCAGCAGCTGAGGAGGTAGTATTTCCGTTAAGGTACTAGTGACTTGGTTTTGTTTTTCTGTACTCTAAAAGTTCCAGGGGCAGTGGTGGAGAAGAAAAGTAGGAGCATGGTAAAAAGCATTTTAACTTTAATAAGACTGTACTGGGAGATGTGGACTTCTCCTTCACTGTAACTTAAAGGGTGACCTTTGTTAGGGAAATAGCTTTGCTCAAAGATAAATTTACTGTATAAATTATCCATTATGGCTTAGTAGGTAGTAAGTCACAGATGTATTAATATTTTGGTTTTTACCTTGTACTAAAAGAGCCTGTACCCTCCAAGGAAGTGGAAAATAGTTCACTGAAAGTCTAGTTAATGTTTCAGGGTCACTGCTGTTGCAGTCAGAAGAAAAAGAACACCCTAGCCCTGTTCTCTGAATCAATTTTACTCATGACTGCAAATACTTCACTGATATTTTGTTCCCATAGGTCATGTTTGTTTCTAGTTTGTTCAGAATTTATTACCTGGTTTCCTCAGAATTTATTTCAATTGACCCATCTCTTTATTATAGGACATTTCGAGATGATCATACAGAGTATGAAAGAAATACAAAGCAAGAAGGAAACAGACCCTCCTACCTAGAGTTAAGAAGGGCTGTTCATGGACCTGCTGTGTAAATATGTATTATGCCAGTTTCAGCTCACATTAGGTTGTTCTTGTAAAAATAAAGTGAAAAACACTTGGAAATAAAATATAAATGAAAGTCAGGTGAGTTTAAAAAAAATATAATCTGTTATTAGATTTCAGAATTATAGTTTCACCTTCTTCCTGTGCATATCTTGAAAGGTAAATGGCAATTTGTAACATATTTCCTCCTTAAAAAACTGGCGGTTTATTTGAAGTTCAGGTTGTTAGTTAAAAATTGATTGTGGACAGAAGCATCAGAAGTAGATTTTCATCCTCTCACTAGACAAAGTTAACACTAATATTTCCGATATGACTGTATTTCCAATTTGGATAGCCCAAGATTTTACTGGTGAAGTTCATATGGGGTTTAACCTATTTTTTGGAGATGATCCTATATTCTGATATGCCAATGCTACTTTGGGCTAGAGCTTGTCCTACTGTATTTGAAGTTCACTCTTTTTTCAGTTCAGCAACTAACCTTGGCAAGTTACATACTTTCTTTGTGCCTCGTTGCCAGTTTTCTAAGTTGCTAGCTATTTTATTTCTAAGATACTTTGAGATCTCTGGAATACAAAGTTCTGTATTGAGTTGAGTGATATTTTTTATTATCATTTGTAATGGTAAGGAGATGTAAATCTCTTTTTTTTTATTTTTTATTTTCTGTATCACTGCTTTGATGTGTGGCTGCACTCATAAATCTGACATTTCTAATGTCTTTGGAAGATGAAATGCTGAGAACATTCCTTTGTAAGAACCTTTTTGTCTTGGTTCACCTTCTGAATTTGGGAGTAGTCTCGTTCTTTCAGAAAAAATTAAGTCACTACTAAAAGGAGAGGGTAAGTTGAAAACAAATTTGCATAAGATACGCCTTTGTTTTTGGAACCAAACAATCTGAGATAAATTGTGAGTAATAACACCAACAGAAAGTGAAAATTTTCTTTGAATCAAGAAAATTGGATGTGAAAGTTTACAAGTTGTTTACATCTCCAGATAATAATGCCAGAACATTCGTTTGCATACAAATCGGTGATCTCTGAATGGAGAAGGCTGTGTAGGCTATGTTGTTAGGTAACTGCTGTCCCTCTTTGTGCGTCACCAAGCTGGTTTTTTTGGTATGCTGGTTTCACTTGAGGCCTTCATATTTTATGGGCCAGCTTTTTCAAATGTGGATAAATGCTTAGATTCTCTGTCTCCAGGTCTAACCAAGAAGAGCAACAAGTAACATTAAAAGAAAAATTATTTTGACTTCGCTAAAAGACTTACCATGGAACACATTTGAAGTGGCACTTCCCCCCCACCCCCAATCTAAATACTTGTCTCTGTCTCTCCATCTGTAATATTTTTTGTCAGGGCAGTGTCTGTCAATAACAGATGAAACACCGTTATTTAAATAGTGTGTACAAGCAATACTTCATATTTCTGAGAGAAGAAACAGCTGAAGAAGTTAAACATATTTACAGAGTGAAGGGGATAAAAATCACTGTTAACAAATCTGTAAGTAACCTTTAAGTATATATCTTTCTTTACAGGTATATTTGCAAAATAACAGAGAGGTCCCTCTTTCAACAGGCTGTCACTATTTCGGGTTCCTTCCACCCCCCAAACACCTTTTCACTTTTGGTAGGTGCTCAGAAGGTTCTTTGAGAAATACATTATTTGGATCTTCTTACAGACATCCATTTCATGGATGGGTTTGGTTTTGATGCGATTCCTTAGAATAAAGAAGTATGTTGTGTTTTTTTTTTTTTTTTTCTCTCCATGAATATGGACCTTTTTCTCCATTTTCCAAGGGAAAAAGACAGCACCTTGCCATAGTCAGAAACGCACTGACCCTGCTCTGCCTGACTTATTCCAGAAACGTGCACGTATCCCAGTACCCCAACGAACCACTGGCAGTAGTTTACCATTTTGGGCTAATATGTATTAATTTGAAGTAAATGAAAGAGCTCCAACAAGCAAAATCAGATTAGGCAGCAGTGTTTAGATGCAGTCTTCTATGTTGGGAGATGACTTCTTACCCTGAATCAGCAGAGAAGTTTTGTTTATTCTAAAAAATGTACTAGACATGGACATATTTGCTATTCAATGTTGAATTTGCTGCTGAAACCATTTTTAAATTTTCTATGCTACTATCAGGTTAGCACAAAGCTTTAATCTCTGTTGTAGCAAATGTCTGTTTACCTAAGTTGGAAAGTTTCCTACTGGGACCAGCAATCCTACTACTGCATTTGCTGGTTTTGAATAAACAAATGCTTGATGATATGTTGGGTATTTGTTTGAGAGCTCTTCTTGCCAGTAGTTGGATTTTTTGCCTATGGTTTGCTTTGAAATCACCATGGCATTTTAAAAATTGGCATTTTACAACCAAGTTCATTTTAAAATGTCTAACAAAATTGCAATGACACACCTTTTCACGTCAGTTACTTCATCTTCTCATCCTATTTAAATAAATGTTTTAAAGATCTGTATGACTGTAGTCTTCATCTAAATGTAGCCTGGTACTATGGCATTGCTTCAGATGTTGTTTGTATAATGCTAATTCTCCACCGGAGACCTCGAATTTATAAAGGTGAGAGTGTTTACTGACAAAAAAATTACTTGAAGTTTTTGGTACTACAAAGGCAACTCAATTAATCCCTCAGCATTATAGGTAGTGAAAAGCTGTTGGAGCCATGGAAAGTGTCTGGCTTCAATGTGAGAAGGTGGAAAAAATACATGTAGGTGAAATACATAAGTTCACAAATCTTTCTTTCAGCTTCTAGAAACTTAAGAAAACAACGTGTTGGATGAATGTTTTGTTCATCTAAAAGGCCAGATACACTACTGGATATGGCAATTATATTACCAAAAGCATTCCTCACAAAAATATCTTTTCCGGGGGGGAGGGAAAAAGAGAGGAAAAAATGTAGGTTTGCACACCATTAACTACATAAGCATCTCCTGTCCCTGTGTTACAGATGGGGAAGTGGGGTGCAGAGGGGTTAATTGGTTTAATGGCTCTGCCTAGGAGCACAACCAGTTCTCCTCAGAGGACTACAGAACACCACAGAGCCGTCTATTTTAGTATATTTGATTTTATTGAAGGATTTTTTTTTTTTTTATGGCTAATGACTGTTGATAGAAAGCAGCAGCCAGGTGTTAAGCTGAGCACGTGCAGCAGCTGGCCTGCCAGGTGATTTGTAGACATGCAAATTAATTATAGTTTCAGCTCTGCTTGTACCAGGATGTACAGTCACCGTGCACTATAACCTGGCCCTACCTATTTACAAGAAGCCCTGGGGTCACTTTCGCGAACAGACTGGAGAAGGAGAATGGAAAAATACACTACCCCATTTATTTAAGACGGTCCGTTAGAGAGCTGCCTGGGGTGCCGTCTCTGAGGAGAGGCCCGCGGGTCGGGGCTCAGCGGAGGGGAGGAGGCAGGGCAGCGGGTGCTGAGCCCTCCCGCCCGTCAACACTGGGCGTTCCCCCCGCCGAGGCGCCCTCCGCCCCGGCGGCGGTGCAGGC